AAATGCAATACAGCCGCAAATCTGGTGCGTGGTCGTGAGCAAGTCAGAAATCAGCGAATTGATCGCGATCAAAATCAGAATCGCGGACGGGGCCGGGCAAACTCATGCAGTCATAATAATTATCAAAACAGGCCCTGATATGTGTCAAATCGGCGCCGTACAGACCTCAACAGAGGATCAACACCGGGAGAAACAGAAATAATGACGAGGAATGCACCCGGTGTGGAATCAAAGGCCATTGGCCCATGTTTGTCGCATAGCTAGTCACTTGGCTGAACTGTATCGGGCCTCAAAAGAAAGACAGGGAATGATTGCCTCCGAAACAAATCACGCTGCCCACGATGACACATTTGACGATATGATGAATGAAAATATCACGCACCTGGATGCCGATGATCTGCTTGATATAGCTGATGATGTTAAATGATAAAATATTGTTGTATCTATTTTGTTATTTTGATGCTTTTTGGCCCCCTTTTTTTGTATTACCCCCTATAATATAAATATATTTTGATTATGTTACACATACATGTCTTTTATTATTTTTACCTTCTTGCAAAGATACGGATGCCACATATTTTGGAGCCGATGACAACATCTACCTTATCGACAGTGCTACGACTCACAACATTCTGAAAAACAAAAGTTATTTAGCCCATCTTAATGTGGGAAAGACCACAATTGTTACTATCAGTGGTGCATCGAAAATTATTGAAGGCTCAGGAAAAGCTATTGTATATCTCCCAAAATGGACAAAAATGGCAATTGAAAATGCCTTGTTCTCGAGCAAAGCTCAAAGAAATTTATTGAGCTTCAGTGATATTCGGAATAATGGGTATCACATTGAAACATTGAATGAGGCAGAAAATAAATATCTTCTGATAATTCAGGTTGTGAATGGCAAAAGAATTGTGAAAGAAAATTGTCATCATTTTCTTGCGGCTTATATTGCTCAAAAATCAGTGCCATTGAAACATATCACCTAGTAGACCAAATGGCTACTAGCGAATTTAAAACTTGGCACGATCAACTTGGGCATCCTGGCAATGTAATACTGAGGCGAATTGTTGAAAATTCAAATGGCCACTCATTGAAAAAGAAAAATATTTTGAGTCCGAATGAATTTGCTTGTACTGCCTGTTCCCAAGGGAAGTTAATAATCAGACCATCTCCAACAAAGGTTGGATTTGAATCCCCAGCTTTTCTGGAAAGAATTCAGGGTGATATTTGTGGACCAATAGATCCACCATGTGGACCCTTCAAGTATTTTATGGTACTAATTGACGCGTCAACGCGATGGTCACACTTATGTCTATTATCTACTCGCAATCTAGCTTTTGCTAGACTACTTGCACAAATAATTAAATTGCGAGCACAATTTCCAGATCACCCGATAAAGAAAATACGTCTAGATAATGCTGGAGAGTATTCATCACATACATTTGATGATTACTGCATGTCAATTGGGATTACTGTGGAACATCCTGTTTCCCATGTACATACGCAAAATGACCTGACTGAATCTCTTATCAAAAGATTGCAATTAATTGCTAGACCATTATTGATGATGTCTAAACTTCCTGTATCATGTTGGGGACATGCTATATTACATGCAACAGCCCTTGTGAAAATAAGGCCGACCAGTTATCACTGTTATTCCCCCACTCAATTGGTTTCTGGAAAAATACCAAATATATCTCACCTGCTAATATTTGGGTGTGCTGTTTATGTTCCAATTGCGCCACCTCAACGCACGAAAATGGGACCTCAAAGAAGGTTGGGTATATATGTCGGGTATGAATCACCCTCGATTGTGAAATATCTTGAACCAACAACAGGTGATTTATTTACTACAAGGTTTGCAGACTGTCATTTTGATGAATCACATTTCCCGACATTAGGGGGAGACAGTAATCAACTGAAAAAAGAAATTTCGTGGAAAATACCACTTTAATTTGATCCTCGTACGAAACATAGTGAACTTGAAGTTCAAAGAATTGTACATTTGCAGAAAATTGTAAATAAATTGCCTGATGCTTTTAATGATGCTGCCAGAGTTACGAAATCATATATTGCAGCAGCAAATGCACCAGCCAAAATAAATATCCCAGAAGGGAAAGTGCCGAGTGCTAATGAGCATACTACCCGTGTAAAACATGGCAGACCATTAGGTTCCAAGGATAAGAATCCACGAAAGAAGAAAATTGTAAATACTGGTGAAGAGATCAACAATGATCAGATACCTGAAAAGGTCAGTACAACCCCTGAAGAGGTTGATACTAAAAATTCTGATGAAAGTGATGATGAAGTTATTGAAACTTTTGTTAACTATACCACCAGTGGAAAATATTGGAACAGAAATAAAACAAATATTGATAATGCATTTGCATATTCTGTAGCACTCGATATAATGAAAGATGACGAGGATTATGAACCAAAATCAGTTGATGAATGTCGGCAAAGAGATGATTGGGCAAAATGAAAAGACGTAATTAAATCTGAATTGGACTCATTGAAAAAACGACAAGTATTTGGCTCTATAGTCCAAACACCGGAAAATGTGAAACCTGTTGGTTACAGATGGGTGTTTGTGAGAAAAAGAAATGAAAATAATAATATCACAAGATATAAAGCAAGGTTTGTAGCCTAGGGTTTTTCCCAGAGACCGGGTATTGATTTTGAAGAATCATATTCGCCGGTCATGGATGGGATAACATTCAGGTATCTGGTGAGCCTAGCAGTACACAATAATCTTGATATACGATTAATGGATGTAGTTACTGCCTATCTTTACGGCTCTTTAGACAATGACGTCTATATTGAAATCCCAGAAGGGATCAACATACCTGAATCATTTAAATCAAAGCCAAAAGAATCATATTCCATCAAATTGCAAAAATCTTTGTATGGGCTCAAGCAATCAGGTTGAATGTGGTACAATCGTCTCAGCGAAAGCCTAACCAAAGAAGGTTATATAAATGACCCTATCTGTCCATGTGTTTTTATAAAGAAAAATGGGTCTGAATTTGTAATCATCGTTGTATATGTCGATGATCTCAATTTGATTGGAACTCCTGATGAAATCCAGAAAGCTGTTGAATATCTGAAAAAGGAATTTGAGATCAAAGATTTTGGAAAAACTAAATTTTGCCTTGGTCTGCAAATTGAGCATTTGGAAAGTGGAATCTTTATCCACCAATCAAATTATACCAAAAGGGTACTAAAACAGTTCCTGATGGATAAATCACATCCGCTAAGTACCCCAATGATCGTCAGAGCACTTGATCCAACAAAGGATCCATTTAGACCAAAAGAGGAAAATGAAGAAACACTTGGCCCAGAAGTGCCATATATGAGTGCTATAGGTGCATTGATGTATCTTGCTAACAGCACCCGACCTGATATATCATTTGCTGTAAATTTATTGGCAAGATTCAGTTCATCGCCTACTCGACGACATTGGAACGGGATTAAGCACTTTTTTCGCTATCTCCAAGGAACAATTGATCTCGGGTTATCTTACTCGAAAGATTCTCGACATGAGTTAATTGGATTTGCCGATGCAGGATATTTATCGGATCCTCATAAAGCCAAGTCACAAACTGACTATATATTTACTTGTGGCGAAACAGTGATCTTTTGGAGGTCAATGAAACAAACTTTAACTGTCACTTCTTCAAATCATGCTGAAATATTGGCAATACATGAAGTTAGTCGAGAATGTGTTTGGTTGAGGTCAATGACTCAACATATTCTGAAAAATTGCGGGTTAATACCTGACGATAAAATTCCCCCAACTACATTGTATGAAGATAATACAGCTTGTATAGCGCAATTGAAAGGGGGTTACATTACAGGAGATAGAACGAAACATATTTCACCAAAATTCTTTTTTACTCATGATCTACAACAAAATGATGAAATTAATGTACAACAAATTCGATCAGATAATAATTTAGCGGATATATTAACCAAGGCATTGCCGACGACAACATTTGAAAAACTGGTGAAGAAATTGGGATGCGTCGGTTAAAGGATCGCAAATAATGCTCAGATCAGGGGGAGCGAATTGATACAAGAATGTTGTACTCTTTTTCCTTCGCTAGGACTTTTTGTCCCACAGAGTTTTTTCCTAATAAGGTTTTAACGACGCACATTCTTTGTATAAAAGCATCCAAGGGAGAGTGTTAGAATAACCACGAACGAGACACATAAACGCTACATAGGTAGGGTGTATGCTTTTATTTCCTTCAACATGGGGTTTCGTCGTGTATAAATATGGGCAATAATGATATGAATCACAATCCCTTCACCCATTCTCTCCAATTCTCCATCATTTTCAATAGTATCATACATACATATATATATATATATATACATACATACATCATATAATATAATATATATACTATCCTAAATACTACATACATATATATATATATACACTGACGCACACACATCTATTCACTTATATATATTATATATAGTATATAATAATACAAAATATAAAATAGTAGTTAGCGGTAAAAATAATTAATATTTCTATTGATTAATCCTATAATAATATCACAATACTTTAAAATTTATTAATTATGGATACTTAAAAAAATATTAAACTTTAAATTATTTTTATTTTTAATTTAAAAAATTTCAGCAATGTCGGGCTAAGCCCTATTTTTCATATAATGTTCTAATCAAAATTTTAAATTTGGGTCATATTAATTTTTATCCCTTTTAGTTAAACATAATTAAAAACAAAATTTTAAAATAATTGTGAATAAAAAATTAAATAAATTGTTTGAAATTAATTATAATTTAATTGTAATTAAAATTTATTAGTTTTTATTTTTTGAAAAAGGTAATTAAATGAGATAGCTAATAAAATTATTTATTATAAATATAGAAAAATAGATTTTTTTATAAATTTATCTAAAAAACAAAAAGAATAGTAAAAATATTACTACAATTTATCCAATAAGATACCGTCAATTGAGTATCTGTGTCCCCTTTCTTTCTACACGAATTCTAAGCGTTTTCCCCTCGCATCGCCGGATTAGGCAAAGGCAAACTCCCGGAGGAGACGGAATCTCGCATCCCGGCCGCTCACCCGCTATCCTCTCTCCGCCGCCCTCACCGGCGCTCCCTTCGTCACTGGAAGGTCTGATTTATGGTTTTCTCTCTCCATTCGTGTCCTATTACGATTTCGTTCTCGCATTTTGCACTTGATGTTTTGCTGCCAAAATTTGTGATGCTATTTGATATTTTCACTGATCTCGGCGTTGTTTTTTTAATCTAAAGCGGAGTTGAAATTGTGTGTTCTAGGATCTGGTGTTTTTTCCTCCTGAAACCTTCTTCACTTGATTTTACAATGGCATTTCCCCTTATGTAGCGCAAGAATTTTGTCTGAAAGCTCCCCGCCTTGTTTGTGCCCAAATCTGCAATTTAACAATGCCGTGACTATTGAACTGTATATATGGTCTGTTTGTGCAAGAAATCCTGCAGCTAATGTGAGTTTTTTTTTTTGAAAATTAGGAAATGTGCAGTAAAATTGACGCTCCACTTCACGATGGAGTGGGTATTGATTTATATATTTGGTTTCCTGTTGCTTGTCTGCTTTGCTTTGAAGCCAGTTAAGCTGTTTAATGGCTTCTTGTTTTTGCATTAGTGAGACAGATTTTTGTGCTTATTTGTGTCATGTTATAGTGCCAAGGATTTTGATTTGAACGTTGTGCTTGTGGTATAGTAGGATGGCCTGAACTTGCAGTTTCTAGAAAAAAATTATGACTATATGTTGTAATTCGAAATCATATATAAGTGTGTTTTGGGGGAGAGATGTTGTGTTTCCGGCACAAGTAGTCCTACGTCATTTTTCTGTATGTCTTTTTTATTTTCAATTTTTTGTTTCTGCTTGTAAGGGGATAATAATGGTTTCTCGAGATATTATAATTTTTGTATTTAACAGTTGGATATGGAAAATTTAAGATCATGTGCTTTGAGTATTACTATGTGATAAATTGTTTCTTTCTGTGTTTGTTTGAACTATTTGTAGTCATTTATTTGAATTGATCCTGCTTTGGGTATTTGTGTTTTAAGTGTAGACAGAGAGGTTTCTTTTGTTAATTGTGGATTCTTTTCTTCAAAAACTATAAGAGGAAAAGTATATGCTTGCTAACCTAATGATTTTGATAATATATTTAGTTTGGCGTAACAAAGTTGTAAACTTTGGGCAGCACCAATGAATCTTGTTGCAGATAACTAGTTTTCTTCTTGATATTTGTATATACCTTTATGGCTATTGAACCAGCTGGTTCCATAATAAATATGTATTACCTTTGTTGATAGATCATTTCCTCTATATTACGTGCTGAGTGACTTATGGAACAAGTGTCAGTTAATGTATATTTGTTTGTGTTCATAATGTTCTATGGTGTTTTAAATTTGAAACCTTTTGAATTAAAAATAGGTTTTGGATGTGATCTGGTGGTTTCAATGTAAAATAGGTGATGGGTGTGATATTTTGAATATAAATTAGATTTTGGACAATGCGTCCCGGCCGGATGCGGAACGGCGTGAATAGAAAATAAGTGCTGGACGTACTGTATTAAGGGGGAAAAGTACTTTGTTATAGATTTTATAGTGGAAAAACAAGATAGAAAAGATTACAGAAGCATAAGAAATTCAACAAGAAACAAAGTAAAATTCCCAAATAGATTTTGAACTTGATGAGTTGTGCCTGAGATTATGTACGAGTCTTTAAGCACTAGATAAGATAGTACAAAAGCCAAGTAACGAAGAAGAAAGCAAAAGTAAATGGAAAAGTTTAGCAGTGCTGTTTTGAGAGAGACCGATCCTCGATTTCGTCCCATGGCCTGCCTGTTATCAATTCGCCTACATTTGTTTCGGACGGTTTGATTCGGTTACCGGATCATAGGGTAACCGCATGACTGTTAGCCCCGAACCTTCAACTACTCAAGATCGGTTACTTCAAATGCATGTGCTGCCCATCGGTTTTCGAACACTTTGACCGACCGGTTTTTAGCTCCCGACCTTGTCACCTACTGGCCCTAAAACGAAACCCAACGACCCATCGGTCCACAAAATTCACATAAATTCGACCAGGCATTTCGAGCGCTTATCTTCGAAAGTGCGAGGCCATGGGCTGAAACCCTAATTTTGAATTTTCAGTGGCTGAACAACTTGCCGCCCCTCAAAGAATGTCAAGGGTCACGTCTCAAGGGCGGTGATACGTGATTGTTGACATGATAACTACTTTCCTCTGTCCCAGGTTTGCAAGATCATCATTACGATGGTCAAATGGCGGAGGGAAAGACTATAACCTTTCTTTCGTCATTAGTAGGTCTCCTTCTTCCTCACTAGTTATGCTTCCCTCTCCCTAGTTAATCCTTTTCTCTTCATACGACCTCCCAACCAAAACTCATATGTTCTGTCTGCAAGTTCTGCAAATCAAACAATAGAGATGACATCAACCATACCATTCGGTGGATTTGAACCCTATCCTTCTCTGCTCTGAAACCATCCCCAGCCACCACTCCGGTAGTGCGCTCCTTCGTCGCCACCATGGAAAGCGGAGCTCCCACTTTCTTCAACACAACCTCCGCCTCGCCATTCACGACGGAGCTTTCAACACCACACGCTTTTGGGATGGGATCAAGACCAACTTGCTAGATCCCATGGACGATTTCTACAATTGGTATGAGAAGGTAGAAAAAAGCTTTGGACAAAATTGGCGGCAAGAAGGACTGGACTAGACCATTCTGATGTCCACCCAAACCTTCAACATCTAGGATACCATCGCTCTGGGGATGACTACCCAGAGGTCAGTGCTTTTCTCCTGCCATTAGGACCAATTGGCCCGACCTTACTGGATGTGGCGATGATAGCCCATCTCCAGATAGCGGGAGAGGATCCAGTAGTTGGGACCCAAGAAGGTTCGGATCCAGAGTCCAACCATTCTGGATGGAAAATAAAAGCCACACGAATAACAAGGTGGTCGCTTAGGGACCATATGTCAAGATGTATTGCGGCGCCAAAGATACTCAAGTGACTGATGAGGAGCACGTCGCTTTCCTTTTGTACTTGCTCTGCTGGTATACTTATCTTTCTCTTTTCAAGTTACCTATCTCAGAAATAGCTTATTATATGCGGGTCCTACAGGTACATCATCTGTCCGTCTTCCAAATCCATCACCTATAGCCATACCGACGTTGCCATCTACCTTGTAAAGGGCCGATTTCTATCGATCGGTACCTTTTCCCTAGCATGTCTCTTCGAAGGCCTTGCCAAGACTAGCCCGAAACTCTCTAGTTCTGCCAAACTGGACACCATTTTTTCTGGCACCATTTGGTTTTTAGAACTCTGTTTTAAACTATACTTTCCGACCATCTTATTCGGTTGACCCCCCCTTATTCTTGACACAGGAACCTTTGGTCAATACCTTCTTTTCCTCTGTCTTGACTGCAAAAGGCTTAAGGACCCTGAGACGACCATTGGGACCATCTTGAGCACTCACTTCTCCGACTCTGATTATTACCCTTACTTCCACCTATCAGTCTTCGCATTTCCACCCTTATGTTTGCCTACTTCCATTCCATTCCCGCACCCATTGCCATCCACTCTACCACACCCTACCTTCGCTCACTCTTGGGACGCAGCGATGAAACCCCTATCCCTTTTTGCTGGAAAAAACATAGAAGAGATGAGAAAAGCATATACTGCCTTTCCCTATTATTCCTATTAGCTCGCCAGTTCGGATGCCACAAGGTATCCCGGATTTGGTTTTCACCCCTCGTCTCATCCGAACTTACGCCTAAAACACTATTGCCGAACATTCCATCAAACCGTATATCGACAGCCTCACTCCTTACCTCACCAGCCACATATACATCCCATCCTGTGACTACCTTGATACCGTCCAAGCTTTCAGAGAGTGGTGGTCGGACCTTGCTTGGCTGGTGGTTGGGAGGCGCATCGCTGATTGTGTGAAAACCCTTTTTCCCCAAGCTGCCGATTGACTCCCAAATGATTCTACTTCCCCAACCTCTAATAAGGCAAGTCACCCTGGGACCCCACCAAAGCGACAAAAGGGGCCTTAGGCTGCAGGAGCCACCGGTCATTTGGCTTTTGTTGATAATCCGATCGATCGGAGTCGTATGAAACTATCGTCAACCGTATGTCATCAACTTTTGCCTTTGCCCCCATTGTGGTTATCGATTTGTTGCCTTGAGAAATTAAACAATAAACAAAATAAAATTCGAAAATAAATTTCGAACTCGATGAATTATGCCTAAAATTATATATGAGTCTCTGAGCATTAGATAAGATAGTATAAAAGCCAAGTAACGAAGAAGAAAGCAAAAGTAAATAGAAAAGTTCAGCAGTGCTGTTTTGAGAGAGACCGATCCTCCATTTCGTCCCTGGGTTTGCCTGTTATTAATTCGCCCACACCGGTTTCGGACGATTTGATTCGGTTACAGGATCATAGGGTAATCGAATGACTGTTAGCCCCGAACCTTCAACTATCCAACATCAGTTACTTCAAATGCATGTGCTGCCCATCGGTTTTCGGACACTCCGACCGACCAGTTTTTAGCTCCCGACCTTGTCACCTACTGGCCCCAAAAAGAAACCCAATGACTCATCGGCCCACCAAATTCACATAAATTCCACCGGGCATTTCGGGCGCTTATTTTTGAAAGGCGAGCCCATGGGCCGAAACCCTAATTTTGAATTTTCAGTGGTTCAACGATAACTGTGAACAGTAGCTGTTTTTGACTTTATACTTAAGATGATGCTTTGTATTTTTCCTATATACATACATACATACATATATACATGTATATGTATATGTATGTAAATCTCTGTATGAGTGCCCAATGAGGATAGATACATTTTTTGAATTTAAATAGGAAAATACTTTGAACTATTAAAGATTTGTGTGTGTCTATGTAAGGAGATAATAAATCAACTATGTATTTTTTACTTCATGTCGTAATTGTCTTGTTGAAAAATTTTGGCACTAGTTTTTTGGCAAACATTGTGAATGTTTATGTGCTGGTTATTCAACAGTATAATGTTGATTCTTAGGAATTTTATGGTTAGATTCTGACTTCCACGCTTTATACTTCTAAATGTGGTTACCTTTGATGTTTCATTTTACTGTCGAAACATTCACAAGAATCATCTTACAATTTATGTGCATAGGATTTGACTTGTTGAGTCTTTTAACCTAAAAAGGCTGTTTTGTTTGCAGTTCTTACTGCAATATTATCCCCGAGGCCGAAAAGTAGCTTTGGCAAACTTTCTATTCAGCAGAGAGTAGATATGCAAAACAGTGGTACACAACTTCGCGAAAGCAGCAACCAGAAGGTTCATCCCCAACCAATGGAAGAGGCGGCGAATCAGAATCCGGAAGCTATAGAAGCATTAGTGTCGAGGATATTTATGAATATCTCTGCCCTGAAGTCTGCTTACATTCAACTTCAAGCTGCTCATACTCCTTACGACCCCGACAAAATCCAAGCTGCTGATAAGCTTGTAATATCTGAGCTAAGGAACCTATCTGAACTGAAGCATTTCTACAGAGAGAACAACCCGAAACCCGTTTGCATCTCACCACAAGACTCCCGGCTAGCCGCTGAAATTCAAGAACAGCAGAGTCTGTTGAAGACGTACGAGGTCATGGTGAAGAAATTTCAATCTGAAATTCAGAATAAAGATTCTGAGATTCATCATCTTGAGCAGCAGATTCAGGAGGCAAATCAGAAACGAGTGAAACTCGAGAAAAACCTAAAGTTGAGGGGCATGTCATCAAAAGAATCAGATGGGAATGCCAGTGGAAACGGACAATCCACGGTGGAATTGTCCCCCGAACTGTTTAAATCAGCTGTAGAAGCTGCTTCGAAGGCCATTCACGATTTCTCCAAACCATTGATCAACATGATGAAAGCAGCTGGATGGGACCTTGATGCGGCAGCAAACTCAATTGAGCCGGACACTACTTTTGCCAAAAGGGCCCACAAGAAATATGCTTTCGAATCGTACATCTGCCAGAAAATGTTCATAGGCTTCCAGGACGAAACTTTCTCTGTCGAACCTGCCACTGAAATGGCCCCTGCAGAGAATTCTTTTCAGCAGTATCTTGCCATGAGGGAAATGGACCCATTGGATGCGGTTGGCCAGAGCCCAGATTCAACTTTCGGGAAATTTTGCCAAAACAAATACCTAACACTTGTTCACCAAAAAATGGAAGCGTCCTTCTTTGGGAACTTAGATCAACGAAACTATATTGCAGGAGGTGGGCATCCGAGAACCGCTTTCTACCAGGCATTCCTGAAACTTGCGAAAGCAATATGGCTTTTGCACAGATTGGCGCACTCTTTCGAACCTTCTGTCAAGATATTTCAGGTGAAGCGTGACGCCGAGTTTTCTGAAGTCCACATGGAAAGTGTGGTGAAAAATTTCATCGTGGATGACAGTGGCGATCAAAAGCCTAAAGTTGCGCTAATGGTCATGCCTGGATTTTGGATGGGTGGGAGCATCATCCAGGCTCAAGTCTATCTCACAGGTATTAAGGTTTCCGAATAACTGAATATGTTTCTGTTTCCATTTTTTTTTTTTTCTTTTTCGGTCTGTGTTTATTTAATCGAGTTTGAGTGCCTGCGTGCTTTAAATTATGGTGCATATCAGCTTACATATATATCAAAGACCATTTCTCGAAATCAATTAAGTCCTTGTGTCCCTATGGCTACTTGATGATCTATTAATGACTTGATAAGCGATTTTTCGGATTATTGTCTGTGGATTATAGATTAGAACTCGATAGGATAGGTGAGGCCATGATCATTCTACAGGACAATAGCGTGCGGAATGACTCAACTGTTGGTTGACATATTATCTTATGTAATATAATGATCATATCCTTTTATGAGAAATAGCCATTTGATTTAACATAAATCGTAAGGTGGAGACAATTGGCCGTAGAATCTGGTTTGAACACACAAATCTTAGGATTAAAAAATTTAATCACGTGTGATCATGCAATAGATGTGTACTAAATGCTATATAGTATTAATGTGGCCTCAATTATTGTTTAGTATAAGATGAGAGAGATAAACCTGGCTGGATCTACCTAGTTCATATTATTATTGTGATTTTATTTTCCTCATCGCCCAAGGTGTAGAGTATCTGTGTATATAATTTTTTGCATATATATAAAGCCTATGTGTGTGTCTGTTTTTCTTGGCTTTGATTACATGGTTTTGGGATCTAGTGTTAGCATCATGTTGGTCAAACTATAGCATTTGGAATACAACAAAAGATTTATGTAGTAATAATACGAATGCATAACGGACAATACATGACAATAGTTTACACTATTAGTAACATCATTGATCTCCGTACAAAAAAAGCATATGTTCATAAGCATCGTAAAATATGATCTGTTTATCAAATTTTCAATTAACAGAGTATAACTTATGTTAATTGTAATAATGTGTTGTTTGCTTATAGTTTATATATTACGTAGGCTTTCTAATATGTTCGAATATACAACAAGCACACAGAATAATAATAATATACAACAAGGTTTGTTTGTTTTGTGGTTTGGCTTGAAGAGGTTTTTTTTATTTTTATTTTTAGTTATTTTTTACAAAAAGTCACAATAAATTATTATTCCACAAATCCAAACTAGATACTAACTTTTTTTGTTTTTGCAAATTTGTTTTTTACTTGTACAGTTTTAAAATTTACGTTCTTGTTCTAAAAAAGTAACGCTAAACTAATAAAACATACAAAATAAAAAATAAAAACAAAGCAATTACGATTAGTCTATCTGTTATTCAAATTAATACCTTTTCTTTTGTTATTAAAAAATATTTTTATTTTTATAGTAAAAGGATACTTCCTCAGCTCCATTTTAATTGATATTTTCCTTTTCATTTTTGTTTGTTTTATTTTATTTGACACATTTTTATTAATAAATTTATAGATATTATAACATCATGTAGAACTTACATAAAATTGATTTATTTTTATTTATCTTTTCAATCAATTTAATTACATTTAAAGTTTTTTAAATTTTTAAGAAAATGAGTTCATATTAATTATAAATAAATAAAAATACTTTTTATTTAATTGTACTGTATAAAATTTTATTGTCTATAAAATAATATTCATATTTTATATATTTTATTGAGATATAAAATTTAAAATATTTAAAATACATATTCTGAATATTCTTAATCATATATATTATTTTTTATTTTAAAAGTATTAACATCGTTGTTCACATAAAAATAAATAAATTAATATCATAAATCACTATCTTCAATTCACTAAACCTCGCTAAACAAATCAAATGTGTCAATTAAAGGTATATATATATATATATATATATATTTGTATTTTTACTATAAAAATAAAAAAAAAAATTATTATTAAAGTTGGTGAGTATTGTTTTAAACTCAACAATTGCAAGGGGTTGATATTCCAACTGCTATCTATAATGGAGTCACAACATTAAAATCAAACATTTGTGTGTAATGTGTATGTTTAAAATGATTTTCTAACCTTGGATTAAGGATGCAATTTTTAATTTTAAAGGAAAAAAATAACTAAGCAAAAAGTATAGCTAGTGTCTACTTTGTATTTTTATCATAATAATTCAATTTATCAATTTTTCTAAAAATAAAATATTATATTCAACTAATTGAATGTTTAAAATATCATATTCAAAAATGTTTTTTTCTTAGCAAAGCAAACAAAACAAAACAAAAAATTACAAGTAATATATATTAGACAAAATAGAAGTAGCAGTAATTAAATAATGAATTAGATCCAATATTGATGTGAAGTAATTAATTCCTTTACGTGCGGTTTGTGTCAAGGAATCATTTAATTTACTTCATCGATCACATGCAACTTATTCTTTCTTCTTCGCTATTCAAAATCTTGAATCTTATTCTTATTTTATAATCTAACAAAGTGTGATATTATTTCAAGTTCCCCTAACGAGAATCAAGCCCTTTGTCTACTTAATTAGTCTAGACTATGTTTTTTTTAGCATTTTTTCAAAAATTTCATCACGATGCAATTCCGACACTTTTAAGGAAAATATATATGATTATTTTCATTTTTTTTTATATAAACTATTATATCGAACTACTTTCCAAATTCAAATCACAAACATAAAGCACAACCTCTTTAATGCCAGTTGTCTCACACACATTTACATTTATATATAAATCTATTAAATATTATTTCAATTTGAGACAACCTTTGCTATATAAGCAACCTCCCACCCTCTCCCATTTCCCACATCTCCTTCATTACCACCATCATTACATCCTAATTAATACAATCTTCTCATTCATTCCTACAACTTTGATTATACCAGTTATAGATATATCCATGAAGCTTAAAAGTAGGGTTTTCTTCTTCCTTCTTTCCCTCGTTATCCTCACTAGCGTAGTCGAGGCTAGTCCTCGTATCGTACACAAGCGCTCCCGTGCTAGATCTTTCATCGAAGCCCAATGCAAGACTACGCTCTACTACGACTTATGTGTCCGTTCCCTTTCATACTATCTTGGCAATTATACGAGCACCTTGAGTCGCCAAAGCTTAGCCCAATTTGCACTTAAAGTGAGTCTTGTAAAGGCTCACTCCACAAAAGCTTATGTGATGCGAGTGACTAAGGCACTCGAGCTCGAGCAACTAGGAAAAACCTCGTATTATCTCCAAGTTAAGGAATGCCTGGATCAAATAAATGACGGGGTCAAACAACTGACAAATTGCATTAAGGAGACGCAGAAGATCCAGGAAAACGGGGAAAGCACGGACTTCCGTTGGCGTGCTAGCAATGTGATGACATGGATGAGCGCCGCGGAGACGGATGCAAGCACGTGCATCAATGGGATATCGGGCCGGGCCATCGGGGGCAAGACCAAGGCCACCATCAAGGCCAAACTTGTCAATCTTGAGCAAAGTACTAGCATTGCTTTGGCTTTGTTCAATGGTTTCGCCGCCAGATACAAGTCCTCGCACGTCCACTAGCCCAACTCAAGTTTCTTTATTTATTGTGTGCCGGATCCGAGGGATTCCAAATACTAATCTTTTAAGGGGCCAAATTGTGAATAGGCGTCATTTTTTTGTTTCTGAATTTCCCTTTCTTTGCTTCAACAAATTACTAATGAATAAAACAATTTGATTGGGTTGACTTTTATCAATTATGGGTGGGCACGTGATTAGCTAAAGTAATTGATTTGCAATTTAAGCAAAATTAATTCTTGGATCACGTGACTTGATTATGCTAATATTATATAATAGGGGAGGTTCAGTGCTAATTAAATATAATCACGGATTGGTAATATGATAATATATATATATATATATATATATAAAAGACAATACATCAATATATTATATATAAATCTACACTATACATTTACACACACTTTATACAGCATGTATTGTTTATTATATTTTGATATATTATTTATTGTATTGTTATATACTGATGGAACAATTATGGTGCGGATAAATTCAAAATGATTTTAGATTGATATATTATTTATTGTATTGTTATATACTTATGGAACAATAAGCATGGTGCGGATAAATTCAAAATGATTCTAGATATCTAGTTTATAGCATATTTTATGCTGGCTAGATATTAAAATATTTTAGGGTTTTATTGAGCTTGTAGATGGACTCAAAAATTTGGACCCGCAGAAAAACCCAAAAAGGGGTGGGTTTTCACACATCCATTAAGGGAACCAGTTAACTAGTCGGTAGTCTGTCTGGTCAGCTGGTCAGTTGGTAGCACCAGAACAGTCAGCAAAGGTGCAACCACAAGACGGTTCTTCAGGCAGTTGCAAGGGAACCAATCAACCAGTCGGTAGCCTATTTGGTCGGTTGGTCGGGTGGTAGCATCAAAACAGTCAGTAAAGATGCAACCGCAAAACAGTTTTTTTCAGGCAGTTGCAACCGTAATACAGTTCTTCATGCAGTTGCAACCATAAGACGGTTCCTCAGGGCAGTTGCAACCGACTGATAATCCGGCACACACGATCCAATAACCGACTTGGAAGGCATATAACAGACACCTTGTATCCGGCAAAAGGCATCTTCAATCAGCATCAATTTCAGAGAAATTCGCTTTGGGGATCATCCTTTTTATCTTTCAGTATCTGTTGCTTTTATTTTTCTCACATTCTGTACGGTATCTAGGGATTTACAATTCTAGATATTATTGTAGTCAAATTCGAAATTAGTTTTCTGATTTTACTTTTTATTGTTGAAATGAGCATCAACAATTTGGCGACCACAGTGGGAGTCGAGGCAAGATTGCTTACCCTACGACAGACGGAAATTTCATACGACTAAGGTCCGGCCGAATAATTGGAAGGATCTATATGGCAGGTTCACAAGCTCAACTCTCTTCCACTACGACAGGGGAAACAACAATACCTTCCGTGGTTAACACTGGGGAATTCCCCCAAGCACCCATTAATTGGGTGACATATGTTCAGCAGTTGAACAACCAGCAGATACAGACCATGTAGGCAATGTTGCGAGAGCAACATAACTTGATGCAGAATATGTTAGGTCAAATGTTGACAAGGGTAACTTTTCAACCCACTCAAACACCACCAGCAGCATCACTATCCAGATTACAGACGAACTTTGCTGGGCCGTCTTACGTAGACAACACCATCCCAAGTGCTGCTATTAGAGGGGATAAAGGAAAAATGCCCCTGACATACCCAAATAAAATCCCGTTGGGTACCAGGGGGGTAGATCAACATGTTCGAGAGGGACGAAAGAATGGGAGGTCAGGCCCACAACCCTATTCCTGTTTTTGATCATAATCCACCCAGGGTGGACCCAGAGGATATTGCTCAAGTGTTACAAGTGCATTTTGGCATGAATCCGCATACGGTGAACAAGCCAACGTACCAAAGACCATTTCTGGAAAGGGTCATCAACGAACACCTTCCTCTGAGAAATTATAGGCCGCTAGATTTCCACGCCTTTTCGGGAGAAGACGGTTCATCAACCATTGAGCATGTAGGTCGTTTCACGGCCCAGTTGGGGGAGGTCGGTAATAATCTTTTTTATAAGTTGCAATTGTTTGGACTATCATTGACTAGAACGGTGTTTTCCTGGTTCGCTAACCTTCCGGCCGGGCAAATTCAAACCTGGGAAGGTTTGGAAGCAACATTTCATGCTAGGTTCTTCAATCCTCTTCCGATGGTGTCACTTACAGATTTATTGGAGATTAAACAGATGCCAAAGGAAACAGCGTACCAGTTTATCGAACGAATTTGTCTAATGAAAGGTCACTGTCCGACCATTATTGAGGAAAGTGAGATGACCAATTTAGTGGTTAGAAATATGCACTCGCGACTACGGGAAGCTTTAACAGCACATGATGTTGGAGATTTAGCCAGTTTGGCGGCTAAAGTTGGTCGTTTCGAGTACTTGTTCAGGGAAAAGGATCAGAATTACAGGCGACACAAAGCACAACAAATGGCTAGTATAGAAACAGAAGTTTATTTGTCAGATGCCGAACAGACCAAGAATGCGGAGGAGATGGCAGCAGAGATTATACATGGGAAACCATATGTATGCCCCAATTTGAAACCAATTCCTGGGATGGAAGAGAAGGATCAGCCTACTTTCGATGCATCTAAAGCAGATGAGCTAATAGACATTCTCTTGGCTGATGGGCAGATTCGAATTCCGAAAGGACAAGGTTTGGAAACCAAAGAGGAGATAAAAGGAAGGCCATATTGTAAATGACATAATTCTTTTACTCACTACACCAGTCAGTTTACCCATTTCCGATAAGAAATTAAGAGGGCCATTAAGGCCTGGCGGTTCAAGTATGTCACGATGGGAGTAGAGCAACAACCCTTTCCAAAGGTAACTACTGCTGTTATTTATTTTCATCCTTCACAGGATTCTCGGATGGAGGATGATGCGGATACAAAGAAAAAGGAACGAAAGCCCAAAGAGAGGGTAGACGAGCCAAAGGATAAGTTCAAGGCTTGTGAAAACCGGGTTGCAGAGAAATAGGATAAGGCTGATGGCACCTTCGAAATAAACTTGAGGGATTAGGTAGTGGATCATGATCAACCGACCCGTAGGCCTCGGTAGGTGCATGATGGGTGGAACAGGAATCGATAGCCACTACCGGTTGACATAGATCCGCGTTTCCAGGTATGAATCAAATGCAAATCCGTAATGCCAAATGTAGGTATGCCGCCCGACACGGGAAACAACCACGTAAGGAGCGACAAAAACCACCAGAACCATCGCCACGCCAAGGAGGTCAAGAAGGTTCCTTACTCCGGGAAAAAGAGAAAGATAGAGCAGTTAAGAAGGCCCAATGTTTCCGTTGTCAATTCTGTAGACGGATTAATATCGATCCCGTGATAGAAGAAGCAAAGGAAGAACCCTCCAACGTGAATTTTGGTTCATTTTCTTGAGATGAGATGAAAGAATTATGCAAAGGGACTCGAAAGGGAGGAGGAACAGATAGTACTGCTTTTCAGGTTGGGATGCAGGTATGCGTAGATTTGAAGAAGAAGATTGGGCAAGTCTGAGTGACGGGCATATAGAAGAACCAGAATGGGCACAGATAGCGATGGGTCCCAATTTGGTACCAAAACTACCCTCGCCAATGATCTTCCCGCCTCTGCCTCAAGGAGCGATTCCTCATTTGAAGCCATTATACGTAAGTGCTCATATTTGTGGTAAGCCGATTAACAAAGTTTTTATTGATAATGGAGCTATTTTCAATGTCATGCCCATGAGAACCCTCAAGAGACTTGGAAAAGGAATTGGAGATCTGTCTCCAATAGACATTGAAATGACCAGCTTTACAGGGCAACCGACCAAGCCAGAAGGTATGTTGGTCGCCCCTATTAAAGTGGGGGCGAAGGTAATCTCTATAGTGTTCTTTGTGGTAAATGCAAAAACTACCTATGCGGTGCTGTTGGGAAGAGACTGGATTCACGCCTCCAAATGCGTTCCCTCGTCACTCCATCAATAGATAATATTTTGGGAAGAAGATCAGGTGTACAAATTAGATGCTAATCAAAACCCTTTTGATGCTACAGAGATCGTGGAAGAATTGGTGCTGTATTCTGAGTACGTTCCCCCGATCTCTCAAATAGCCATGTTTGATAAAGAAAATCTGTGGAAGAGTTGCAGACTCACCACCCAGGGTTATGTGTTTCATTGAGAAACATTCGTTGTATCTTTTTGGCTCTGATGTTAGCCAGACTTCTGAAATTACTATTTATTTGGATCTATGGAAGAAGAAGATACTTGTGATTTTCTCATCAAACAATTTTATTTAAACTAATTAATGGTTAAATTACATAACAATAGAGGGTGGAATAATTGTGTCATTGAAGGAGAATGTTTTCGTTGGCCAGACCTTCTGGAGAAAATAGAATCTTTCTTATCTTCACAAGACCCACTTACCGAGTATAACCTAGGAACCGACCAGGTACCGGGAATGGTTCAAATAAGTAGCTTATTGCCCAAAAAACAACAGGAGAAGATGGTCGCGCTAATACGGAATAATATGGAATGTCTGGCGTGGGATTATTCAGAAATTCTTGGATTAGCGCGGGAGTTGATTGAGCATCGGTAGCCTATTAAAGATGGTTTCAGGCTATATAAACAACAACCCAGGAGAATTAGTCCTAAATTGCTCCCTCAGATCAAATAAGAGATCGAGAAGTTACTGAAAGCAGGCTTCATTCGACCTTGTCGGTATGCGGAATGGTTGGCGAATATTGTACCTGTAACCAAGAATAATGGAAAGATCAGGATATGTATCGATTTCAAGGATCTTAATTTGGCAACTCCTAAAGATGAGTATGTCATGCCTATGGTAGACATGCTGATCGATTCGGCTGCCGGGTATAAGATTTTGAGTTTAATGGATGGGTATGCAGGATATAATCAAATTTTTCTGGTGGAAGAGGATATTCCAAAGACCGCGTTCAGATGCCCAGGGGCGTTGGAAATTTACGAGTGGACGGTAATGCCTTTCAGGTTGAAAAATACAGGGGCCACGTATCAACGAGCCATGAATACCATTTTTCAACACACACTTGGGCGACCTTGAGAGTGCCTTTACGTGGATGAAGAAGTATAACCTTAAGATGAATCCGACTAAGTGTGCTTTTGG